TGATTTACTTGAAATTTTCATGTTGTGGTCCGCACGTGTTACGACGGCACGTGACGCGGCCGCAGCACGCCCCGAGTTGCGTGGAGTGCGAGGGCCCGCCCAACGCTGCTTGCAGCTTTAATTGTTCTTGTTATATCTAAATTAGACTTGATATAAACCTGCTGTTGTATTTCTATTAAATCTTCTTTTGTTTTCTGTTCATTTGTTTTGATTGCCCTTTTCCCCCCCTGTTGCTCCTGTTATATCCCCAGCCGTGTGTGGAATAAACATCTCTCTTTGAATGGCCTCTCCCAAAGTGTTTTTGTTTTTCTTATGTCCTAAGGCTCCTTTTTTGGTAGACTATATTCTTCTCTTCGTAGGGATGTTGGTTATGAATAAATGTTGTTTTGGGCTCGGAAAGTCGAATGAGACATTGTGTTGGACTGTTAAAATAAATTAAATTTCTTGTTAATCTTGTCACCAATCTTTTTGTGTTTGTTTCCTTTTGAAATTAAGAGAATATTAAATTGAAAATACATTGGAAAAAATGTGTTAGAGTGAGTCAGGCCCCTTCTGTTTCTGGTCTCATTATATTGTATGTGTGTGCAGGTCGTCTGAACTGGTGGTCCACCATGTGCACCAGCTGTAAGAAGCTGCTCCCTCTGGCCACCACAGGGGATGGGAACTGCCTTCTGCATGCTGCCTCTTTAGGTAAGGTACTCATGCACACTACACTATATTTAAGATACAGTATGACCATAACATCCATCACTATTTCTTGGTGTGGAACAACTGAGCCCGCGCAACAGCTGTCTAATAACAGTGTCAGTGCTGCATCACAGCTGCTGAATCCGGAAGAGGGAGTGACAAAAGGAAGCGTGAGAGAGCAAAGGAAGCAAGGAAGGGAGGCAGGGAGGGAGATAACTGACCTATACGTTGCAGGAAACTGTCAGCTGCAGGGTTCGGGGGGGATAGCAGCGTATTCAGGTCTCTGCTGAAGGAGACTGTTGACTCCCCAGTGTGAGGACTGCTGGAGCAGCAGAGGAGCCGTTGGGGGTTAGAGGCACCAGAGCTAATGTAATCTACACTGACAGTTAGACAACTAAGGCCCTTTGATGAGTGATGAAAGACATTTTTAGAGACGAAGTTAAAGAGCTGAGGTCATCTCGGAATGATTTTATAGGTGCAGTCTCTCGTTAGGCTCCATGCAATGGCTGCGTTGTTGTTTTTCGGCCTCAATTTTAACATGCAGTAAAGGTGTTGTTTGTCTGTGTTGATCAGGGATGTGGGGCTTCCATGACAGAGACCTGATGCTGAGGAAATCCCTGTATACAATGATGAAGAGCGGAGCCGAGAGAGATGCTCTCAAGAGGAGGTGGAGGTGGCAGCAAACCCAACAAAACAAAGAGGTTGGGAGAGTGTCCATCTTAGCACACTGCACCTCCTAAATACATCACATCCTCTTTCACTAGTGACACGCTAATGAAGCCACATGAGCAGGCGGAGGGATGAGCCCACCTCGGTTATTAAGCGCTGATTTGAGCTTCCTTGCTGGGTTTTGCTGCAAGGAAAATAGTCTTTCTATAATACCAAGTGTGCATTAGTAGCAGTGCTAAGACTGTCAAATCCTCTGCACTTCCTGTCCCTTCTCTTGATGTTCATGGATTAAAGTATTTGCCAATCTATTAGAAAAAATGTGTCACCAAAGATAGCTCAGGCAAAGAAGTAGTCCAGATGCTCATGTTTTAATAAATGCCTGAGGCGTCCTGGTGGCCCAGTGATCTAAGACACATTCCCCATTCTAAACACAGCGTCCTGGTTTGAGCCAGGGACCTTTGTTGCTTGTCATCCACCTTTCTCTAATTACCCATTTTAAAACTATCCATTAACAACAAAAAATATGACAAAAATACCCACATACATAGATGCATAAAGCTTGAGGAGATAACCTTGTAAATGCAGACGAAAATAGCTAAAATGAATAATAATAGGGATTGTGTGGGTGAGCATCAGCACGTGCTCATCAGAATTTCCATTTGTGTGTTTGTGCAGTCGGGTCTGGTGTACACTGAGGAGGAGTGGGAGAGAGAGTGGAACGAGCTGCTGAAGTTGGCCTCCAGTGAGCCTCGCACTCACCTCAGCAAAAATGGCAACACCAGCGGAGGGTAAGCTGTTCACATTTACCCCCCCATAAAAAAGAAGCCTGCAAGTGTACGCACACTGAACTCCTGAGATACAGCACACATTACTTTGCTCTAACCAGAATTGTGCAACGTTTGCTCTGTAATCATTGTGTAAGATGGAGAGAACAGAGCAGCATCCCACATCACACATTACAAACTCTCCTGCTGTGTTTTAATGTCTTGTGTGTTGAAACACCGCAGGATGCCTACAATTAAAACAAAAGTGACCTTCTCACTAAGATGGATTTGTCAGGGAAACTCATTGTTCCCATTTGGACTGTTGCTCTTTCGAATTGCTTCCTTGATTTAATAACGTTGTTGAAGCTATCGTGTGAGACTGTGCCATCTACTGGCTGCAGGCGGTAATAACCATTTCTGCTGCTTCCTGTGAACTGTGGGTTCTCTTTTAGCTGCAGCAGGTGATGTGATTCGCGAACTGTCCTCCCCTCCCCCGTTGCATAAACAAGTGTAAGAGTAGGTTTATCTCAGGTTACAGAGGCAGATTGGAAACTCTGGTTTCCTCCTCCTACGCACAGAAAGCTTGTGGTTCGTCTCTTGTTTCCATTTTCACTGAAATAAACATACGTACTTTCTCAGATACACAAGCGGTATATAGCATCTGATCTGGTGGAGGGAAAAACAACTGCGATGAACTGATAGACTCATTAAGGTGTCTGCTATAGATTGACATTTAATTACATGAAATGCCATTTCAGTAGGTTGTTCTGCATTATCTTTTCACATGAACTCACTGTTCACCCCAGCGTCGACTTGTCCACTACGAAGCCTTCTTTCACTGCAAATATCCCATTAAAGAACATAATTTACTCATTTAGTCTGATGGTTTTAACCTCTCATTGAGTTTGACTGTAATACAGTAATCAGGTTAGGGATGTTTGATGGTCCTAGTGTGAGATGAGCCCCTAAATAGGATGAGTGGGATTCACATATTAAGAGGCTCTTTATTAGAGTGAATTTGGCAGCGTGGCTGTTTGTGTGGCTGACAACTTAATTGTTGCACATCCTCCGGTTCCCTGGTGGTTGCATGCCTGAGAGCTCTGCCTCTGCTTTTTCTCTCCGTCTCACCCTCCCTCCCTCTTTCTCTCTCCCGCTCGCTTTCATTCAAACACACGTATAAACAGATGGATCTTAGTTGTCCTAGTCTGGTAAAGGTTCCCGGAGGGCAACGTGGATCCAAGTGGATCAGATTAGATAGCACAGACACATGATTAGCAGGAACATTTACCTTTTTTGGATGCTTTTTGTATTAATCAGTACAAATGTAAGACATTATCATAGTATCCCATGATCCCACTGTGTTAAATGTTTGTTGTTTTTTTTTCACAGGGTGGATAACTCTGAGGATCCGGTCTATGAGAGTCTGGAGGAGTTCCATGTGTTTGTGCTAGCCCATGTGTTACGCAGGCCAATTGTAGTGGTGGCTGATACGATGCTCAGAGACTCAGGAGGAGAAGGTAGACATCTTGCCTCAGTCTTCTACATTACAGAAGGGTAAACAATGGACTGACACTTAGATATGGTGTTCTGACTGAATTCCAGCGTTTGCTCCCATCCCGTTTGGAGGACTCTATCTGCCTCTGGAGGTGCCTCCGAGCCGCTGTCACTGCTCCCCTCTGGTCCTGGCCTACGATCAGGCTCACTTCTCTGCGCTGGTGTCCATGGAGCAGAGAGACCAGCAACGAGAGCAAGGTAAGCAACTAAACATCGTCACAAATAACAACACTCATATCATAATCATACGTAATCTTGACAGGAAAAGTTGGGGGCATCCGCAGGTTGAGATGTGCACTATACAATTAACCTTTTCTTGAAACTTTGACCTGCTGTAATGTGCAATGGTTAAGTTGGGTAATAGTTAGGCAGTCTTTGCTTTTACCTTTAAGTGGGTAGATTGCAAGAGCAGGGGCGGGTGGTCTGCCTGTCCTGCTAGAGGTGAATAATGTATGAGACAGCCATCTAATTACCTGTGATCCATTATTAAAACAGGCCAGTTGGCAGCAGGAACCAGAGTGGTCAACATGGAGGGAAAGTGGACAGCAGTCTCCTTTCCTCTACTGAGCATTGACTAAATCAGTCGAGCCTGTATGTTATTGTATGTCTATATTTCTCCCTCTGAATTCACTGTTGGTTGAAATCTAGTTGGTTTTTTTACAGTAGGTGTGTCTGTTTTCTGCGTTTGCCTCTTGCAGGACTGTGTGACATGGTTCAGTTTAGAGCATATTGATTGTGTTATGTTGTGGTGAGGGTGTGTTGATTTTCCGTTTTTGTTGAGTGACTCTTGTTTTTGTCTTGCTCTGCCCGTTCAGATGCCAGTGTTCCCACTCCGGATGCATTGCTTATTCTCGAGGTCAGAGTAGTCCTCACATGGAGTTCCTTTAATTGACAAATAGAGTGGATCTCCTTGACAACCAGTCTTAGTAGTCACAGCACTCCTCTGTATCTGACTCAGTGGGTGGAACTCACTTGTCATTTGTGTGGGCAGGCGGCCAACTCTGTCTCTTTTTCTCACTCTCAAATACAGATACACTTGCGCAAACGGTTTCTTTCTTCCTCTCTCTGTCTTCCTCCTTCTCTTGTGCTTTTTCTGAGTATGTAAGGTCCTATTCTCGGCCTGTAAACACAGACCTAGTTATTAAGTCTGGGTACGACCACTCCAGACTAGCAGACAGACATGATTACTAACCTGCCATCCCTGCCCTGAAGTCATTCCCTTTAATGCCAGCAGCACATCAAAGCCAGCCCCTAGCTATTCAGCACTCCCACTTTAATTTGGGTGTTTTAGTGTGGCAGAGGGGGTTCTCTTTTTGTCCACCAGATGGCACATATGTCCAGAGAACTCGCTGTAGCTCGATCACAACACCACTGCATGACTGTACTTTTTCATTCTGGTACACTGTGTCCTGTGATAGGATCAGAGTCCGTTTTGTCTGCAGTCTCTCTCCAGGATGTTATGAAAACACTGTACACTTAGCTTGGCGCATTTCTGTGTCATGTGATGAATCATATTACAAGGCAATGATACAAATATTTGGTGTTCTGGGTATGTTTTTCTGCATTATTATGTAAGTAAGAGGTATAGTTTTAAATTGCTAGAAATGGGTTTTTACATTTTCTTATCATTTCTGAATTTGGCTTATATTTCTGAACAGATGCCAGACAAAGAGGCAGAGGGTCAGACAGGCAGGCAGACAGACAGACAATCAGACCTAATCTTCCTCTGCCAATTAGGGCAGAGTAGCCCAAGCCGTCCCCTAAGCCCTGACCACATCACCACATATGGGCAGGGTCCTGGGCTGCCGGGGCCTCTGACAAACCAACCCTCCTTCCTGACACTCAGGCCGATGTGTGGACGTCTCAGGTGGAGGGTTGCTCTCAGTTTCCCCCAGCACAGCGTATAGCATCCAAGAGTGTGTGTTCAGGTGCCAGAGACTGAGTTAGAATACTGGCTCTTTCTTTAGCCCTCTGTGTGGAAGATTATAGCAAAGCAACCCCTAGTAACCTGATTCTAAATCACACTGACATATCATGCTACTGCCCCTTTTATGGCACTGCTTGCATGGCTGCCAGGGCTGTACTGATGGTGAATAGTGAAAAAAAAAAAACAGGAAGAGAGGGGTGACTGAAAAACTTTGTTTTGTTTCTGTTTTGTTTTTTTCTGAGCACATCCCAAAAGAGCCGTCAATTGTTTTTCCTGAGTAAGGTAGTCAGGTGAACCCAGATTCCTGTGCACACGGGTATGTTTTCTATGAGCCCACTGCCGCTCACATGCTGTGTGATAATGACTGGCTCCTCAGTAGATGCCGCTGGCCATGTCTTTTATCAGCTTGTTTGTGCTCCTGTGGTTAAACGACGTATGAGTGGAACTGGCCCTCTGGAGCTATTTCAAGCTCTGGTCCCAATACCAAAACACTTCCAGGTTTTCTTTGGCATCTCATCATCAACCCTCTAACGCCCATTCGAATGAAGTAAATGGTCGTCTTTTACACAAAGACCACCTACATAACAGTGCGGCCATCCACCATCCAGCTCTGCCCAGGTTTCCCTTCTCTATCTATTAAAGACACCCAGTGTATTACACCCCATGCAGTCAGCGTAATTAAATCAATATGGCGATGAGAATTAAAATGCTATTTGTTGTGGTTTCATGTGTTACTTCAAATGTGATGCTCTTGCAATTACCACCATGGTTCCGTTGTTAAATATCTGTTGCAAAAAAGCTCAGGCTTGTTTATATGCATGACTGCTGTTTACTCTGGTGAATTGGACCCCTTAAGTCTGCAGCTGTGCAGTGACCAAAGTCAGGAATTCAAATTTGTGCATTTTCCAGACAGTACAAATTGTTCTTGAATTGCAAAACAGAGGAAACATTGGCTCAGTGTTCCTGCTGTGAATCAAAGCTTGTAATGAGTGACTTTGTCCTCCGAAGGGAGTAAAAGAGGAGAGAAAATCCTCCCTTTCAGCTCTTGTGACACAAGGCATACTTGACGTGTTCATTTTGCACAAACTAAAAAAAGACAATGGCAAGATATTTATGTCCAATCAAACCATGTGTATCAATGCTTAGAAAGGTTATCTACCTCATTTCCAACAGCTGTTTCCTCACAGGTTACACCCAAGTGCCCACCCTTTGCCCTGTCTGTAATCCCCCCAAATCGAAGATGCAAACTGAGCAAGGCGAGGCAGGCTAGCAGCTATGTTGCTGAGTACACAGCTCACATACCACGGAGGGCTATGATGTCATTCATGCATAAGCTATGGGAATCGGTCATTCAAAGACAGCAAAACAAGGCTGCCAACAGGGATAGTAAATACATTACAGCACACTTTAGTCCCCCAGAGCTCAATTGGCAGTGTTGAATCTCTGAATCTGGACCGGGCCCAAGCGGGAACAACAGTACACACACAGCACTTTGGAATGCCGAGAAAGGAGGACAGCTGCATCGTGGGAGCCAGGACACCACCTCACAGGCCTCCGCTGCCTGCTGCATGACCTGAGTGAGAACTGAGTGGGAGCTGGTTCACCGTCCTGTGTTTGTCTGTGTGTGTGTGTGTTTGTGATTATGACTGAATATTTCTGGGCAAGAGTGTTCTAGGAAAGACCCTTCTCTAAGAAAACTTCTCTTTTTTTTCCTCCCAGTTTTCAGTGCAGCCCTTTCACTGCTCTCATTGCTGTTTGTCTCTGTGGCTACAAGCATTAGTCATGACTTTTTTTTAGGTAGATGGTGTAAAATGCATTGTAATCTGCAGGTATGACGCAAGGGCAACCTCAACATTTTCGAATTTCTGGAAGAGGCCTAGTTTCTCACAGTGATGTATTTACCAATGATATGATATGGTGATATATTTCCTCAGCTAATGGTGTCAGATATAAAGAAGTGATCCTCTTTGCAGTGTTAATTGTGTTGGCGTTGGTGTGGCTGCGCTAATTCTGTTTCAAGGCATCATCACAATGCATGTACCACCAGTATTTTGACACTTAGTATGCTTAATCATGTACTTTACACCTACGTAGAGACATTCAGAGAAAGACACAAGAGGGAAAGAGTGAGTGTTTGACCTGCAGTTTCATCAGGGACACAGGAGGGGCTGTTGCTGCTGGTGTCTGTGTGTGTATGAAGCCTTCAGAGCAGAGCAGCCTATTGGCAGTGGAAGAATTGATGAGGCAGGGAGGAGACTGTATCTTCCATCTGGGCCTGACAGTGAAGGCTGGAATGTCCTGGGCCTGAACAGCCTGCCTCTCTCTGCTGTCATGTGGACAACAGCCCCCACACCAGGTAGCCTGAGGAGAGTTGTCATGCGGACCAATGGGGTCTAGCTAGTCCTTCTCACACTCTTGTTTCGAAAGGCAGCCATGCACTCACTCACACTAAAACACGTACACGCCCGCACCGTGCACATACTGTAAGCACGCCTCCCACGAAAGGAAGCCCGGGTGGGTGTCTGTTTTATGTTCTGTGTCCACTGATTAATGTTGAAAAGGTCTTCCTGCTTGTAAGTAGCTGATCATATCAGCAGGGTATGAATGAAATGATTTCAGCACTCCTGCTCTTATTCAGTACTGCTGCGTCTGATTGTGCTCGATTACTAAACCAAATCATCATGTATCAGCTGTAGAGCTACTTGGTTCAATGTAAATCTGTAAAGTGGCAGTACCATCATGCCAAGTTTAGTAATAGTAGTATTAGCTTAGGCAGGGGTTCCCAAACTTTTTCATGCCAAGGGCCACCACAATACATGCACATTAAATCACGGACCTCCAGTTTGAGAGGACTTTGTCAAGGAATCTTATTATAGTATAGATTCATATTTTCATCAATGATCAAACTGGGATCACTATCAATGTACTGTACAACTCCCAAAAAATGTGATAAAATTAAAAATGTTGTTTTCCTTCTTTTGCTTGGGACTGCCTACAGCCTACTCTAGGACCCCTGTTGGTCCCCAGACTCCAGTTTGATCACCACACTAAGCTAAGGGAAGGTTCCAGTTTACCACCACCTGGGCCCTATTTTCATAGTTTAGACCATCATCCCTTTTTGGTAATGATAACACTGTTACTAAAGGAACTGCAGGGGTTTGGGACATTGCTAAAAAGAAGTCAAACAGGTCAAGAAACACAAGCAGTGTGGTTTTACCTCTAAATAAAGTGGTTTAGATCATCTGGATAAACTGTTTGCTTCATCTAAATGCTTGTTTTTCCCATTGGACTTTGATGTAGCAATGTACATGTGTTCCCAGATCTCAGTGATATATCTGAGTGCAGCATTAAGATTGCTGGAATAAAATGCCGGTCTTTCACTTTCAGTTGTATTACATGATCTTCCTCAGCAGATGGACTGTGCCCATGCAGCCTTCATGGAATTGTAGATTGTACAGGACTTTAAGGACAACTCATCCATGTTGGTTCAAAAGTTGTGATTAAAAGTCAATTCTCGACCTTGGTCACAGACCTTAACAAACCAGTCTCACCACAAGGTCCATATTAGTAGCCAAACATTTCTTTTTTCCTCATGGAAAAGGTAGATTGACTGGTTACGCAAGACTAGACCAGCCAGTACAGTAGCTCAGAGAACTAGGATATAGACTAGTCTGTGTTATAAGAGGAGCAATCAAGTTAAAGCTGTCTGGATGAGTCACTATGAGTGACACTCACTGGTCACGGTCACTTCTCTGCCTAAAAAATGGATGGCAGATAGAATACACCCACAGTATACTTTACTCCAAGCTGACAGGCATCTGGGATAATTAACGTGGCATTATTCTAGTGTGTCATTATGGTGTCACTTTAGCTCTGACACCACGGTGGCCTTGTGAGGGAATGGGTGGCGTGCGATGTAGTGTCCGGTGGTAAAGCTAGACTAACAAACGAACCTTCTGATAATCTCATCTCTTCCAGCTGTTATCCCTCTGACTGACTCGGAGCACAAGCTGCTGGCACTCCATTTTGCCGTGGATCCTGGCAGGGACTGGGAGTGGGGGAGGGACGACAATGATAATACCAAACTAGCCAAGTAAGTCCTGTATGGTATATCACAGGGTGTTGATGCTTATCAACAAAGCACACACAGAGGCGCTGACTAGAAAAGCATGAAGGGTGAGAGAGTAAAAAACTGCATGCCAAGGCAGTTCTGTTAGTCTACCCACAAGGCTGTATGTGGGGGATTTAACTCTGATTATGGGCTCCGTGCTCAGGTCTCTTCAAAGAATGAGCAGAGAGAGAACAAATTGTGAGTCACGTCAGTCATCCATAGAGTTTCCCAGGAATGGCCTCACTAAAGCAGCAACACCCTCTCTGAGTTTAGCAAAGAGTTTATGTAAGGGTTTCTGTTTCACATTCCTGCCAGTCAGGGGGTTAGCTTATCCTTTAACAAGCTGCAGTATGAACAATGCAGATATACAGAGAAAAGATGCTAATACCACTTCCTAATACCAATACATATGTATATTGACCTTAATGCATTGCAGGCATGGTCTTTAAATTCAATAAATCCTTAAAATTATCACACTCAGACCCATAACGTTGCTATATATGCCATTATGTGTTAGTAAAAAAGTCAAATGACAACTGTGTTATACCACTTCTTGTTGTTAATTGAGTGTACATGTTCTCCCGCAGTCTCATCCTGTCTCTGGAGGCCAAACTCAACCTGCTGCACAACTACATGAATGTAACATGGATCCGAATCCCATCAGAAACAAGGGTAACTTCTTCTCACACACGTGTCTTGTTGGTCATGGCTAATTTAGCTGTGGAGAGACTCTTCCATTCCAGATGTTACTCAAACCACAGAGTTCAATCAATCAGTTTTATTTACTGTCAGAGTGCAATAAATTCAGGCATTCGTGTGTTTGTACTGATTATGAATCACCAGACAGATATTTTTGAATATTTGTTGTTGAATTTGAAACACATTGTGGATTTTTTAGGGCTCTCCACTTATAAACTAGATATGAATTTTGAATTATCCCTTCAATGTCATGTCCCCGAAACATCACTCAGTGTGCTATGTTCTGTATTTTCTTCATTGATGTATGTGTTTCTGTGAATCTCTGTGCAGGCTCCCTTGGCTCAGCCAGAGTCTCCGACAGCCTCTGCAGGTGAGGATGTCCAGTCTCTAGCTGAGTCCATGGACTCTGACCGCGAGTCTGTCGGCAGCAACTCTAACGTCAACAACGGCAAGCCCAGCAAGGAGAAGGACAAAGACAAGCAGCGCAAGGACAAAGACAAGAGCCGGGCTGATTCTGTAGCCAACAAACTAGGTAGCTTCAGCAAAACCTTGGGAATCAAGTTGAAGAAGAACATGGGAGGTCTGGGTGGCCTTGTGCACGGCAAAATGAACAAATCTAACTTTGGCTCAGGTCGTAATGGGGAGAATGGAGGGGAAAAGACAAAGAAGAAGGAGTCTAAAACAACCAAGGGAAACAAGGAGGAGTCGGGCCAATCAGCCAGCTCCACCTCTTCTGAGAAGGCCACTAGTCCCTCTCCTACAGACAGAGACAGACCCTCCAGCTCCTCCCCCACGGAAAGACAGGACAGTGCAGGGAAAGTCTCAGGGGACAAGACCCTGGAAAACTGGAAATACAGCACTGATGTCAAACTTAGCCTCAACATCCTGCGGGCTGCCATGCAGGGGGAGCGCAAGTTCATTTTCGCAGGCCTCTTGCTCACCAGCCATCGACACCAGTTCCACGAGGAGATGATCAGCTACTACCTGACCAACGCCCAGGAGCGCTTCAGCCAAGAGCAGGAGCAGAAGAGGAAAGAGGCCGAGAAGAAACCCCCTGCCAACAACGAGGTGGCTGTGAAGAAGCCTGAGCATGAGAGTGTCTTCCAGAGGGAGAGATCGGACAGCTCGCCTCTGGAGAGCTGCTCTCCCGTCCTGCCCCACCACACCCACACCTACAACCACAACTCACAGCCTCCACTGGGTCTCAAGATGCAGGGCAGGAACAGTCCCACTCCTGCAGCCCCTCTTGTCTCGGTCCCAGTCCCTCCTCTCACCCCGCCAACAGCCTCCCACCACGTCTCCCACCCAGCCCCAGCCCCTGCGCCTTACTCTTCCCCCAGTATTGGTGCTAAGAGACCTGGGCCAGTTCCTGTGTCCGCCCACTACAGCCATACACCGCCCATCCAGAGGCACAGCGTGATTCACTTACAAGATGTCAACATGCAATCCTCCATCTTCCAAGATGACCCCTATAAGCCCGTGGTGGGCACCTTAAAGACATGCGCCACCTACCCCCAGCAGAACCGCACACTCTCATCCCAGAGTTACAGCCCTGCTCGCCTGTCAGGGGTCCGCACTGTTAACACCATAGAGACACTGTCCTACAACATGCCTGGTGAACACAAGTCCCACACCTACACCAATGGATTTGATGCGGGAGACATTCAGGACTGCCTGGAGTTTGCTGATGAGGACAACTCGTCTCACACCTGGCTCAACCAAGACAAAACCAAAGGGCGGAGCTCTGGAAGCCCTTTGTACTGCTTTCAGCAGCGCCGCTGCAAGAGAGAGAACTGCTCCTTCTACGGTAGGCCAGAGACAGACAACTACTGCTCCTATTGCTACAGAGAGGAGCTGAAACGCAGGGAGAGGGAGAGCAAAGTGCAGAGGCCTGCATAGCCATCACAGCCACTTCAGCCACTTGTCAGCAAGGCCGCAGGAGACTCGAGGGAACTACACCATCTGCACTCTGCATTTAGAATAACATGGTGGCAAACATTTTCCTATTTTGTTGAAGAATGCTCTTGTATTCCTGTCACCCTTCCCTTGTTAGTAAAGATTATTACTTTATGATGAGGGAAGCAGAACTTGAAACAGTGAGCAGCTTTGGCCAGAAATTGTGCTATTTTGTTTTGGGGTTTTTCTGTCTCATTGAATTTAGTCTTTTACTTGTTTTAGAGTAAAAGTCATCTCTCTGTGATGTAACTTTCTGTATGTAAGGAAAAGTTATTTATTTTTCAAAGTACAAAAGATCTGCATCTCATCAGGAGGGAACATTTTAGCTATTTTAATCAGTTTGAATGCAATACCTCTGCTTGGTTCTTCAAAAATCTGTGGAAAATTTGTAGTTGTTTTGCAATCAAAAGAAATTAAACGGGAGATTAATATTAGACTTTAAAGCAATAAATTGGTGATTTTTGCTACACCCTCTCCCAATTTTGTCTATGCACCAATAATATAGTTACTGTAGGTTAACTGTGTCTTGTAAATTGTAAAGGATTGTCACGGTGTGCTTTTGTAAACAAATTTGAACTACAGGAATTAAAATGTGTAAGCATTATAGATTGTAATGTTGGATTAGGATGAAATGTAAAACTATCTCATTTGTTAAGTGTACTTTTGTTCTTACCACAGTGCAAAGGTTTGCTGTGTCAGAATTGGACTCAAATATTGTGTAAGATATCATTTCACACTTTTGCCCGTAGTCGACCTCCTAAAGACCACAAGCACTGCCAAACTGGCTTCCTTTTAAAAAAAAAAAAATTACGATTCAAATTTTCAACATGTTTTCTGTGGCAAACACCGAACAATGTGCATAGGTTGAATTGCTTCTCAAATATGCAGTGTTTATGGTGTGTTTCTCTGAGTCCCCTGTTAACTACTCTATTTGATCAGTGTGTTAAATGAGAAGAATTATGGGTAGTGAGAGCAGGCCGATGCGTATTTGTCTGAAGTGTGATTAAGTGTCTGTTCCCCCCTTACACACACAACACGATGTGCAATCATGCTATTAGCACTATGTGGTGACCTGCAGTATAGATGTGTCACCGGTCCAGTGAGATTGTCTGTTCTTCTTCCATATCTAGAGGCCGTTAAAAGAAGCACCTGCTGCTAAGAGCACCTCAAGCCTTTGTGATCATCAGTGCTTTAACCAATCAGTGGGTTTCTAAAACCCCAGGCCTCCAAGTGCTTTCTGCTCATTCGACATGACTACTGTAAAGACGCAGTGTTTGTGTTGCTGTTTGTTCTGGTGATGCTTGGATAATGTACCATGCTGTCCTTAACTAAGTGTGTCCTGGCCAAGGATGTCCACTGCTCCCTGGGTTCGCTTCTGTCTCTCCCTCCTGTACACACTGCAGTGTTGCTCCTCTTTGTTTCTATGTGACCAGTTCATGGACTCTCACCATGTTAGGACTGTAAGATATGATTTTGTATTCCTTTAAGAGTTTTACACTACTTTAAATTATTAATTTGCACATTAGGTACAGATGTAAATATGAAAAAAAATAGTTTATTGTTACAAACATGGTGTGTCTGCGTCATTTTTTTGTTTTTCTTCAAGAAGGTTATCATGAAAAATCTAGAGATTAATGATCAGTGCTATATTCTGACAGTTTAGAGTTTAATAAGTAACCAGGGAGATCAAGTTGTTTAGGTTTCTCTAGATCCACATTCACTACAATACACTTTTTTGCTATCATGTTTTCTAGTGAGACCTAAAGGCAGACAATGACTAGTTCAAATTATACTATTAGAGTACCAGAACTAATCAAGACTGAATATGGTTATGGTGTTTTACACAACAGACACTGAAAACTATTATTTGAACCTTCTGACTTTTTCCTGGAAGGTATAATTGGTGATTAGCAGAGTTTAGCGGCAGTGTTAAAATTAATGCAGAAGAAAGCAAAAGGGCAAGATCCTATGATTCCCATAATGCAACTCACTTTCTTTTATAAAACATTTCTGCCTTGTCTCTCAAACTCCGTGCCTCAAGTCTGTAATGCAAGTCTCCGACCTGAGGCCGAGATAACCGAGATGACATCCCCAGGGTTCATTTCTCTTCGGAGCCTCAGATGACGACTCAGTTACAACTAAACTGATCTGTAAAATCAGTGCAGTGCCCCTTTAAAAGGCCATCTGAATTCATAGAATAGGACACTTTTCATGGTTATTCATAAAACTCAGCATTAATGGGAAAGGTAATTAATCTTGTGTCAGCTTTTTGAATTAGTGAATCAAAACAGAATGAGGGGAAAATTTCCTCCCATATCGGTCTGAGGTTCCAGACATGAAATTCTTAGGAATGAACTGCCAAGTAGGGCAGCATTCCAGAGAGCTGTAACTCTGCCTTATTCCTCCAGAGACACTCCTACTGGCAGGAGCATTGACGCCATGCAGTGAAACAGGCCTTCGGAAAGCAGCAGAAAATCTGGAAGTGCTTTCATGTGAAGTGTCATCCGTCCCTGCAATGGTTAAATCTGGGCAGGGTAGCTTGCTGCATGCAGCCTAAGTCACATATCAAAACAAATATTAGCGAGCACTACATATAAATGACTCAGGATGCTGAAAGAGAGGTTTAATTATTTATGTATAAGAATGAATTTAATCACAGCTAAATTTAATCTTCACATGCAGAAAAAAGCAGCTTGTGAGAACGACAGAGTAAGAAAGGTTTCAAACGCTTCCATTCTGATCATGATTAATGATTTTACACAAGATTTTAAAAATATAGTATGTGCTCTGGGTTGTTTGTCAATTGATTGGTCCTCCACCTTAGTCCAGACTTAAATATCTCAACTGTTGGGTGTATTGTTTGACATCCCAGAGGATGAAACCTTATGACTGTGGTAATTCTTTGACCTTACGGGTCTAAGTACAAATGTGAATGCACCCAAGACGCTTTGAGGATGCACTGAGATCAGATCGTTCAGACCACATTCAGAGGTAATCTGGGCTGCATGTGACCACATCCTTACAGCAGTGTATACGCAATGTGTCCTGAGCCACACTGAAGGACCGTCTACTCAACTGACATCTTGTAAGTACACGCAAAACATGCTGTCCAATTACCATTTGGTTCATGCAAATTTTGTTTTTGTTCTCTTACCTGCTAAGATAAGCAGCAGATGTTTGTGAACACACTGTTTGAACTTTCTCCATTTAACTAGTAACTGCAATATGCCCATAATCCATCACAAATATTGCACAATTTTGAGAGTTGAATGAGGAGAAACTTTGAAATATGAACACTGCAAAATGGTTATGGCAAATTGTTAATCATTTGATTCAATACATTGTTGTTTCTTTCCTTGTAAAAATCATTGTTGTAGCATCGCTCTACCAGTGGCTACTCTGTGTCAAAAGTGCATCTTACCTGCCAACATTTAATAGCTGTTTGAACACACTATTTCAACTGATTTCACCATTTACTGTTAAGAATAAAGACAACATTTTATTGATGGTGAAGATGTCAAATTTTACAAATTCAGTCAGTGAAGAGGATCTGTTTATGGTTATATTGACATGATATCAGCAACAAATACACATTTCTATAGTTCTATAGTTTCATCTGTAGAATATGTCACAGATCTCTTTCAGAGTTTCTGTGGACAGAATACATTCATTTGTTAACAAGGCTTTGATTGTATGGTATTTATCAATGGCAAACTCAATGTAGAAAGACTGGGCTGGCAGCAGCGCAGCAGCAGAAACGCTCATGCTAACATGCTAACCTAAGATAATAAAGGGGAAATATTTTTGCATGTTTAGCATTGAGCTCAAAACAGCAATGTGTCAACGTGCAGCCTCACAGAGCCGTAGACTCAAAGGTCTTCTAAAACTATAACGTACTCACAGATTTTACAAAGTGAAGAGAGAAACAATGGCCTGTCACTTTAAAGTTTAAACAGGGTTACAAATCAAATTCTGATTTAATGTCTGTCAGAACTCTTCAATACCCAAGAACTCATGAGCTCTAAAAAGATTCAATCTGTTTTTGTCAAAAAAAAGTTTTAATAAAGAGTCTATGAGTACGAGGTAAAATGAGCCTCTGCTTTTTCCAGAATCCACAGTCCATACAGCAGCAGCTGACTGAGTTGGTGGAGTGAGAGTGAGGAGAAGGTTGCTTAGTGGGCAGCAGCCTGTTATGTGTGGGATGAATTGCATACTTCTGACTGAGCGTATAGTCTCGTGACTAGGCTGCAGTGTGGGCTAGACTCACTAACTGTTGATCCATGTTTCAGGTCACGGTTGTGGACTGCGGCTGCTAATAATACGGAATGACTTGTTCAGTTTTGAAGATGAATTACATCTCCACATGATGTCTAATGTTAGTCACACAATTGCACATGAGGGCCCCTTTCTTCAGAGCAATGTATCCCGAGCTCTTGTATCCCGCTTCTCCCATAACAAGCACTGAATGAGACAGAGTGCATTGTCTTCTTTCTTGGATCCCCTTTTCTCAGAATTTCCTTTGAATTTGCATGAGGGACCTCCCTTTGCTTTTCAAAGCAACAAAGAGCTCTATCAGGCATACAGCAGTCATTTGGCAGGCCTCTCATCCTCTCAAACAGCACAGCAGCCTCCATGTTGTCAAATTCATTCAACTCATTTCAAATCAGGACTCATACAAAAAAAAAAGGATACAGAAATTCTAAACTGCTTTTTATTTCCCTTTCAGATGCATCTGTCTCCCTCCTCACATAATTAGAACCCATTAGAGGCCTTAACACAACACAATAGTTCATAAATATTGATTTTTATGGTAAGCAGTTGTCTCATTAAGACGGTGAAATTAAAACGTGAGATAATTACGCATATCCATGGGTATATAAATTGAATATTTAGATCCTCTTTGTACTATTCTCATCATCTATTCTCGTCAACTAGATTGTAAG